GCCATTATGTCAGGTCCTGGATATGTGTTTTTTTTTTAAAGGCAAGTATCCTTTGATAGATATGAGTCTCTAACTTAGAGAAGGATCTAAACAGTGTGCTTGTGAATAGAAAGGTCAGGGGGAACTTAGTGCCCGAGGCCAAGGCGAGACTTGCTGTGCTGGGATGGAGATCAATGCTCTCTCACCTTCACTGCCCCAGGAAAAAGGCAGCTACAAACTAAAATTGTAGAAATTGGTCTAGAATTCAAGACTGGCATAAAACAATGCAATCACTGTGCTTCCTACTTCTCTTATTTGTCAACTAACCAAATTAAGCTAAAAGAAGATATTTCCCTTCTTTCGTTTGGGACAGACGACTCCCATTATTGCTCCTTGGGTTGTATTTCTCTTCACAGGGGCCATGCTTAGCCCTTGGTGGCCCCAAGTTCAAGACAAAAGGCATCTATCCTTGGAGATGTTTTCGTTTACTTTACCAAATCAATGATCAGTGTGTGCATATTCATTAAGTAAAGTAGACTAAATTGAAATTTAAATTCATTGAGGTAAATGGCCCCATTTCTACTTCTAGAAAACAATCTATTTGGAAGAGATAGAAATACAAATTCCCCATAAATTATGCTGATATAATTCTTTTTAACAATTTAAAGTGATATACATGGGATGTGGATAATTATAACATCTGCAAGAAACTACCTGTCAGCACTAATGTTTTTCAGTTTGGCCATTAAGGAACGATCAAAGAGACCAGATTTATTTTCCCAACTATTTCTTTTCTGGAATTGAGCACGTCCATCAAAGACAGTTTTCAAAACCTGGATGTGGGGCCAGCACTGTGGCTCTACAGGCTAATCCTCCAACTTGTGGCGCCAGTGTCCCCCGTGGGCACCTGTGCATGTCTCAGTTTTCTGCTTCCCATCCAGCTCCTTGTTCATGGCTCAGGAAAGCCGGGGAGGATGGGCTTAGTACGTGGGCCCCTGCCTTCCACATGGGAGATGCAGAAGAAGCTCCTGGCTCCTGGCTTTGGAGCGTCACAGCCTTTGGGGAGGGAACCACTGAATGGAAGATCTCCATCTCCCTTTCTTTGTAAATCTTACAAAGCAAAATAAATTAAAAAAAGAAACTGAATGTGCAGGAATTTCACTAGGCAAACATAAATTCATGTGAAGGATGAGGAAGACACGAGAGTGACCTTAAAAACCCAGAGTATAACCAACACTTGTGACAGGTCCACTTTTAGACATTTTTGTTTTGCTTTTGCTACCGAAAACTTCATAAAAGAACAAAAGCACTGGTCTCACAGCATATTTATACTCCTTCAGTCTGCCAACCCCCATCGTCATGTAATGCCTGGACAGGTACATACTGCATAGACATATGAATGACAGTACGGGGCATTCGGTGGACATATGAAAAAGATTGGATGTTTGAAGTCAGAAGTATGGTAATGTGAAGATGTTTAATGAAGCTGGGACCGGAAGACAGGAAAATAAGCTCCTTCATCATGGGAAATTTCGCAAAGAGGGACCAGACAAAGCATGCGATATGTGTGGGATCACAAAGCAAAATGACTTTTATTAAAGTAACACAGAATTCTTCCTACAATCAGAAAGATATTAACATATCTTCACCATCCAATCCCTTCATTGCTTTAATTTTACTTGTTGGTGCCGTTGCTTCCCAATTATAACAGTTTCATGAATGCTAAGATTCAAATATGCATGTTTATCTTGAAGGAATAATTTTTGAGGTCCATCACCTTTGTTTAGCTACCCCCAGACTCTCATAAATCTATTTAATAAGAAGTTTCATCCATGTGACCTATCACCATTAAACTTTACTTCACCCTTACCTGGCAGGTTGCAATGCAACATTTGGGAACGCAACTGAAAGGTGAATGAGTAACACTTGGTCAGGCTTGGCTACAGAGCGCACCTTCTGCGGAGCTCACTGTGTTTTACATAAGAACATTTCAAGTAAATTTAAAGCAACACTTTGTGTTAGCGAAGTTGTTATTTTTAAAGTATCATCATCTCATGAATTTACAAGTGGAGGAACTGAGTTATATATAAAAAAAAAATGGAGCAAATTTCTCAGTGTCAACATTTTGGTTGGTTTTGAATCCATTCTTGTCCAGATGCCAGAGTCAGGCTCCATGCCCTGGGAAGCAATGCATCAATTTGATTGTTCTCACATCTTTCTTACAAAACTTGAGGGAGGTAGTGGGTATCCTAAACACGTAACAGTTTGTGGGTATTATCTTAGGTACCTGAGAAGTACATTTTTTTCTTTTCCTTACACTAACCTTCAGTGTAATAATGAATTTAATAGAACTGTTAAACCTTCATACTCTACCATTCTTTTAATTTCCACCTGACTATATCATTTGTGCAGATACTTGCTGATCTGTAACAACAGAAATGCAGCATAGCACATAATGCTAGCTTTCAGGATATTTTAGAATTGACAGCTTTTTCCTTAGAATGCTCTGTTTTGAATATGTTCAATGTTTAGAAAAACACCTGAAGTCTTAAGTGGTTGACTTTATAAAAGCAAAAACTTTCAATTATTCAACATGTAAAAGGTAGCATTTCATTATAACTTAAAATACAATGCCATGATGCTCTCCTTTCAGAGAATCAAAACAAAATTCTCCAATCTGAGCTGAAGGAATCAGTACTTTTAACTTTTTTAAGTCAAGCAAAACTAGCATTTGTCAATTTGTAATAACTCCCAGACATCAGCGAAAGTGGTGCTAAAACTATAAAACTGTGGCAGTAGTTTTAAAAACAAGTTTAACATGCCTTGTGAGCAGAAAAGCCTTTTACAACCAATATTGCAAAAAAAAGATTTTTGCTAAACTGTCATGATTTGACAGCATCAAATTTAGCATTCCTTGCTCTGTAAGAAAGAGCTTTCACGATAAAACAAAAGCAGGGGAAAAGGTCACTGAAATCAGTTGAGCTCTTGTTTAAGGTGATGATAAAAATAGGAGAGTTAAAGAAGAAAAACCCTTCAAACTTTCCAAAGTTGGGCCCTTTGCCTCTAGGAAAAAAATAAAGCCATATCATTCAGCCGTTTCAGAAAGAAACATCACAGATCAAATAGAAATACTGGGCTTACAGACAAAAAGCACATCATTGAACAGGTCCTAACACCAAATCCAAGGTGAGTTCCAATCCTCCCCATTGACATTTTGTTGGACCCTCCTTTGCTCCACTGGTTTGATACACAGTGGCACCAAAGTAAGACAGAAAGTGAGGCCTCCCAGTGGAGGAAGAGACCTCCCAGTTAAAGTCTGCAAAGCACAGGCCATGTGACACCCCCGCCTCCACCTAGCCAGCAGGATTGCACAGGAGGATCCTGACATCACTCCACTGCACCCAGAAGGCAGAGTAAGCACGTGGACACAGACGGACTGCACCAAGGACAAGATCAATGCAGCCTCACACTTGACCTTATCGAATGCATGCTTTCCGTTTTCCTGGAAGAAGAGCATGCAGCCTGTGTTGTTTTTTAAGTCTCCTCTCCCATCATCAGGCAAAGGCGAAAGGGGCTGGCATCACAGAGACCAGGTTAGGTCATGGCCTTTAGATGCCAACATCTCACAGGAACAACAATTTTTGTCCCAGCTGCATCACTTGCCATCCAGTTTCTGGCTAATGTGCCCTGGAAATTAGCAGAAGATGGCCCAGGTACTTGAGCCCTTACTATGTATGTGGCTGACCCGGGTGGCATTCCAACACTTCTGATTTAGCTTGCTACAGTCCCAGCCATTGTGACCATTCGGGGAGTGAACCAGCAGATTAAAGATCTCTCTGCCAGGAGCAGTGCAATTACCTAGTGGATAAAATCTTTGCCTTGCACGCAGCAGGATCCCATAGGGGCATCAGTTCACATCCTGGCTGCTTCACTTCCCTTCCAGCTCCCTGCTTGTTGCCTGAGAAAGTGGTAGAAGACAGCCCAAAGCCATGGGACCGTGCACTCATGTGGGAGACCCGGAAGGAGCTCCTGGCTTTGGATTGGTTCAGCTCCAGCCATTGCAGCCACTTAGGTAGTGACCCAGCGAATGGAAGATCTTTCTCTCTGTCTCTTCTTCTTTCTGTAAATCTGCCTTACGAATAAAAATAATAAATGAATCTTAAAAAAAAAACCTCTCTGCCTCTTTGTAATTTTGCCTTTCAAATAAGTAAATAAATATTTTAAAACAAAGAATGTAAGAATAATGCTTTGTGTTCCAAATGAGACCAAGTCTACAAAGAATCATTAGAGAAAGAATCATTGCTGGTTCTTCAGACTCACCTTGCAAGTGAAGGGTTTCTTCTCCGGAGCAGGGAAGCATGAGGGTTCCCCATCCAAGATTGTCACAGCCCAGTGTCCACAAGGTAGTTACAATCAGTTTGTAGAGCCCCAAAGCAAGATTTTATATGGCACAGCCTCAGGCCCAAAGAAACAAACCTCATTTGTCCAATTAGGAGTTTATGGGGCTTGGTTTTTGTATACATATTTTAAAGATCCATTTCCTTTTCTTTCTAACCCCGCACGTCCTAGCAAGCCAGCAGGTGGTCACAGCACCTCAGTGCAGGAGGAGAAGCCACACATGCGGTATCCATCCTGGTTTCTTTTCCATGGTATGAGCCAAGCCCACAAAGCTACAGCCAAGTCCTTCGGAACTATTGCTGGACATGGTCTTCACTCCAGTGAAAGAGAGGTGACGGCAATCGATGCCACACACAGAATTTACGGTTGTCAATCCAAATGCAGAGAGGATCAAAGGATCTCGAGCAGCTCAGTATCTGGCAGCAAAGACAGCATCAGAAGTGGGAGGCAGTGTTCTGTTTATACAGGTACATGTATTTTACAGATTGGTGATGGACAGGAGGACTTCAGAGAAACAAATTTATTTCAGGTCTAACTCCAATGACTGCCTGTCATTTCTGGAAGCCCCACAGTTTCAGCAATCTGTACACCAAGCAATGCTGCAGATTTTTTTTGTTTTTTTGTCTTTAATTTCAGAGGGCGAAGACGAAGTAAAAAAAGTGCAGTTCTTCAATTAAAGTGCATGGATGAGGTAAACTAATTTCAAGAGTTTTGAGTTTGTTCAGCACTGGCTCAGACAGGAACCATTCTACCATGCATCTGCTGCATTTGGGTTCGCATCGCCTGGACACTGCTCAAGATCTTATTCTGGTGGGTGATGGCTGTGATGCCAATTCTTGCCAGGTCACTGCGGAAAGGGGGAGGAAAAAGGGGCAGAGGAAGTTAAGAGGGCTAGAGATACCTTTTTCCCGTATGCATGCAGACACACAATTTGAATCAGCCACAATTAATACAGCACAACAAGGCAGGTGTACTACAATGTTTAGTTAAGCAATTTAATGCAACAATGTAGGTGCTTAATAGGGACTGTGTAACAATACACTCAATCAAAATGAGAGGCATTCCAGTTTTCATTTTTGTTTGTTTGTTCACATGAGGAGGATGATTATGCAGCTCAAAGCAAAAAAGAAAAATACTATTAAATCTAGATTTACCCTTTTGTGTTACATCGCTGAGTACTTACTCCTGGTTCATGTGCACCACAGCCTCTAGTGTGGTATAACCAGCAGCTGTGAAGTTATCCTTATACCGGTCCATTTTAATGGCCTGTAGCCAATCGCCCACTGATACCACGGCAGAGAATTCAGGGGAGCTGGGATCCAGTAAGGCAGTGTTAGGTCTAGAAGCAGAACATGCAAGCACAGAGAGGATCTATCAGTGAATCAGGAAGACTCATACATCAGGGGGCCTGAAATAAGCAAAGAACTGGTAAGCCAAGAGAAGGTATCCAGTGGAACGATTGTCGCCAATGTAACTGTGATATTTTTCATTCTTAATTTCATGTAGCTGCTAAATTACATGTCAATCACCCATGTAGTGCACGTCTTTTATGTCACCCTTAATGCATGTCTTTCAGAATCCAATCTGCAGTAAAAATTGGGGATCCCTTGTGGCTCAAGCTGTTCAATTTTGGGGGAAAGAATCCCATCTCTGCCAGCACTGAATGTTACAGACGTTAGCTCCGCAACTATGGAAACCCTAGTGGAGTAAGAAAAGCTGTAAGCTTCCAACTTGCCAGACCTGATGGGAGCAGAGAAAACAGTGAAAGTTCAAATCCAACATGTTTCCAGATAGGTCTGCAGGCAGGCTCAGTGCATTCAAACAAACTTGGGACAGCAGGGAGTTAATCCCCTCTTTAATCAACCCTTGCCTGACCAGCACGTGTGCCAAGACTGGCAGAAAGAAGGGCCACTTTGATCACGCTTTGGATTGAGGAATGTGCTTCTCAGATTCCCATGCTAAGGCCCCTAAATAATGGTTTCAGCAAATTCAAAGCACTTCTTATTAACTTATTTATTAGTTCACTCATTTCACATGCCAGGTGTTTCATATTAGACCACGATCAAGAATGACTATAGGCAAGAATTCTGCCACTCCTCATAATATTGATTATACGATAAATTACTTACTTACAGAAAATATAGAGTAAAAGAATTATAGTCATCTTCACTATGTGCTTTAATAATCAGAAAGTGGACATCCATAGCGGTATTTTATACCACCTTTATGATAATTATGATAATGCATAACAACATCTGTGTCTTGGAATTATAATTTCTTGAAGTTCTCTTACCCTTAAAAATTACAGGATGTGTGTGATTTTTAATCAGGTTTGATCTAATTTTCATCCTGAGTTATATCTGAGTTAAAACATGTAATTTAGAATAAAATCATGACTGAATTCAGTCAAATTGTATCCCTATTGAATTCAACCAAAAATTACATTCCTATGAGTACAAATGTAAGTGAATGCAAAGCCTTAACTACTTTCAGAGTGCAGATTTAATGTAAATAAAGTTTAAATTTTTATTGCATCATTTTGATCTGCATTTTTTTCTTATGTATGTGGTTATTTTAATAAATATTTGCTTAATCCAACAGTTGTGTGTCAAAGTGAAAAATCTGTCTTTGTGATCTTTTTTTTGTGTGTGTGTGCTGGCTATTTCTATTAAGTTCAAAATGCTGAGTAAAAATCTGTACATCTTTACAGTAAGAATATCTAACTTTAAATGCTCTCAATTTTAAGCCAATTGCAATCCTCTTTACAAATATAATTGTGAAGTGGCTGTGCAGCAGTAATATCTGTTATTTGACAGAGTAACAGTCTGTACTTCCTTCCACTCCAGGTCAGGAGCTTTAGTAGAGCAAGCCGTAGGCTCAGAGTACCTGGAACAAGGTCAAAATGACCTTGGGATGAAAATATCTTCATTCTCTATCAATTAGCTCTCAGGGTCATTGTCAAGCTTGTTCCAAAAGCCTGAATGTTCTTTGTGGGGAAAACTACGATATTTGCCTAATTCTGCAATGAGTCTTGTACCGCATCATACCACATCCTGTTATCAGCAAACACTGTAAGTAGCAGTGAAATAATCAGGGAATTAGAAAACTATATCCAATAACTCCTTTTGTTTCATATTTTGGCAAAGGAGGCATGCTATAATATTAGTGGATGAACAACCTATGCTACTCAATACCTAAATATCATGTATCCTCTGGCAAGATACATGGGCTCTGGAGCGAAGACCCCAAAGGTGGCAGGGGCTTAACAAAACAGTCATTAGACCTGTTAGGGAGGCCTTACCATCATCTGTTTTACCCTCTTGAAGAACAAAAGAGCAAAAATATAGCCCAGACTATTAGGATATATATGCTTTTACTCAGTTCACATATTCACCAAGTAGAAGAGATAAGATATAAATTCGATCCTTTACAATGTTGTTTTCAAAAACAGTTTCACTGGTTAGTGGTTGGGTTAAGCTGTGCTTACAGCACTGACATTCCATATTGCAGTGCCTACTTTGAGTTCTGGCTGTTGTGTGTACACAATCTGGCTTCCTGCTAGTGCTTCTAGGAGGCAGTGGAGAACGACTCGAGTACAGTGGCTTCTGCCACCCATGTGGGAGACCCAGATGGAGTTACTGCTTCCTCGGTTCGGCCTGGGCTGGCTCTGGGTGTTAATAGCGTTTGGGGAGTGAACCTGCAGTTTCAACATCTCTCTTTCTCTCTCCCTTTTCACCTTTTCTGTTCTGTCATTCTGCCTTTCAAACAAGTAAACAAATAAATTGTTTTAATATTTCAGTATAATGGCCAATGATAAGGAACAGAAAGCTCCTAGAAGAGAATATATGGCATCTCCGGTGTCTACTCCATATTCCTTCTATTCTGTAATTGAAAAAATCTTTTTACTGATTTATTTAGTTGATTTGAGAGAAATACAGATGGGGTAGGGGGCAAAGAAGTGACTGGCATACTCTCCAAATGCATTCAAGAGCTGAGAATGGGACAGGCTGAAATTAGAGCCAACAACCTCACTTCCGGTCTCCCACACGAGTTGCAGGGAACCACATATGCAAACAACACCTGCTGCCTCCCAGGATTCGCACCAGTGGAAATTTGGAACCAACCAGGATTTGAACTCAGGCACTTCAAGATGGGATTCAGATGTCCGAATGTTTGCTTCCTATTCTGGGATTTTTTAGACTAGTGTCAGAGAAAAGATCAGAGGAAAATCTCACAGAACAATCACTTGAATGGCTTGGATATTGTGGGGAAAGGTGCCCATCTACTTGCAACTCAGGGTCATGATGAAAGAGAAACCTTTAAAAAACTTCAATTTGGAATTCAGTGAGTGGAATTATCTGACCTCAGGTAAGCCCAGCCTTCATGTAGAAAAGTTCCCACTGAATTGTAAGATGGAATTATAGCACCTTTATTTTATTTCTAGCCTGATACGCTTCTTCCTTTTGCCTAGTTTCAATTGTACAATAACCTCTTGTGCAGGCAGTTCAGTTTAGTTTTGAAAACTCTTCTCACACATTCATCTGCATGCTTTGTAGTTTGGTCAGTTTCTATCTTGGCCATGAGTCCCACTTTGACTCAGGAAGAAAGACTCTAGAACAACTGAAACAAACCAATCTCTTCCTACGGTTAAAGACTTCACAGCCCACTCAGGATTGGATGACTAAACTATCCTCTCACTCTTACTTGTTATTATTCCGTTATCCTGCTCCCTTCTCTCAATTGCAACTCATCCTTCTTCCTACATTTTTAAGAAAGACACAAAATCAGCATTGTTAGTATTGTTTGAGGGCTGACAGATATTAGGCTCTTAGAAATTGTGAACGAAACTATCTGAAATACTCCATTAACTGAGAAAGAAGACAAGCAGGTGGCCAAGAGCCATGAGGCAGCCGCCAACAAAAAGGCAAGAATTAAAGGGAGTCACTACGAGCCTGCCACCTCTGATATATTCTTTCATACATCACCATTAACTAAGCATGGCCAACCTGGAGCTCTCCGTCCCAGTCCTCTTCAAGCTGTTGGGATTGCGGATGAGTTTGTCCAACATGTTGACAATCTGCCCGAATTTAGGCCTGTCGCTTCTCTCCTTCTGCCAGCAGTCTAGCATCAGCTGGTGGAGGGCAATGGGGCAGTCCATCGGAGGGGGTAGCCGGTAGCCTTCTTCAATGGCTTTAATCACCTATCAAAGACAACAGGATGGGATACTAAGCTGCCAGGCAAGCTATTGTTAGAGCTCATGCTCCTGATGAGAATGTTTCTTCTCCATTCAGCTGCCAAAGACCTTGAGCATGGGAATCGCTCCAAGCTCTTCACAGAAACCAGAGCTGAAACCTGGATCTTGCTGGCAGCAGGCAGTGGAAGCCAGCTGTTGCTACAAGGTGTTCTCAAATTGCAAACAATTCCAACCTGAACTTCTAATGTGAAAATGTATCAACATTTCAAAGCAGATAGAAACCACTTAGACCTGTGATAATGGCCCCCTGGACATCACGTAGTCCTGCTCTATGCTCTACACCTGTGACATGGTGTTAGACCTGTGATCATGGCTCCCTGGACATCACATGGCCTTTCTCTTTGTTCCTCTCCAATCTTCCCTTCAGGACCATTGCCCCAGAACACTGGTGGCCAAAAGAGACTCTGATCCAGCCCTCCCTCAGAAGTCAGCAAATGGATGTCTCCCAAACGGAATTTCCTTTGCATTATTTTAAGCCTGTGTCTTCTTGCTCACACTGCTGGTGTGAATAACAGGACCCATTTCCATAAGTCTAGCCACTTGTTTTTATTAGTTTGGAGATGAATACCCCCAGAAGCGTAGTCAGTGTCTCATTCCTGGTCTCAGTTTGCTGTTCACTGATGTTCTTAAAGATGTTGCAAGTAGATTCTGGAGGTGTTTTTGTTTGGGGTTTTAAGAAATTTTATTTGTTTTAAGTCAAACCATTTTCATTCCCTCTCAAAGTGATAGCTGTTATAAAACAACCAGTGGCTTCTGCTGTTTCAGTGACCCCCTTAGATGATCCTGTGGTGGGTCTATTGACTGCTCAGAAATTGGCTATCAACAGAAAACAGACAATTCACTGGGGCCCAGTGTGGTGTGCCTTTGTGAGGCTCTGTTTTTTTAACCAGTATGCTGCTTCAGTTTAATGAGCATCTTGTGATTTATTAAGCAGTCTGATCTTTTTCCTTCCATGTATTTTGCCAGGACCTTGTTTTACTATATGATCTATTCCATCTAGAAGACTTCTCTATGGCATTTCATTGAACCTTCTTCTATTTATTTCCAGCAATTCCACAAGGTCAATTTAATACTCTGGCTTTCTTCTATCTTTCCAGGTACATGGTATTGATGCTGGACTTAGTGAAAACATTTTACATTGAATTGATGATAACACGAGCAATGCTGGGCTGCTGCCAGGGTAACTCAATTTGTTATAACCCCTCAGACTGATTAATAAGCACCAAATCCACTGCCAGCTTGGGAGATGACTCATGGGTTAACAAAGCATATTTTCTCATTTTACTGTTGAATATTTGGGGGCACTTAGGATGAAAACAAACAGGAAACTCGCAAAGTATGATGTATTTTCCACAGCGAATCTCACTCCATATGCCAAATGAATTCTACTCTTGAAAGTAATTCTTGAGTTACACTTCCTATTAATTCCCATTCTGCTCCGAATTCAACACAGAAGCAAATACATATGAATGATAGATCAGTCATTAGGGTGTGGTTGAGAAATGGCCTCAGATGCTTTCACATGGATAAAGCTAAACAACTGACAGCTCAAAACAAAACTGTTTAATATAATGTATAGTCACATTTTCAGGCCTGACTATAGGGTAGAAAAAAAAAAAAACTGTTATCTTTAGATAGTTTACTCTTGTGAAGCTTTGACCGGGTCTCTCAACTGGAATAAAGGAAGGTTTACTTTCAACTCATCTGTCACGTGAAGGCGGGCACTAGCTGCTCATTGTAAGTTGTTCATCTCTGTTTCTCTGCAAATCTCTCACCTGAATCCAAACATGGCTTCAAGCCTGAAGGTGTCTGCACAGCATCATCGCATCAAACAATAGATAATGCACCATTCCTCTCTGTCATTGCCTGTCTTGCTAGCCACTGCCTTTCTTGCCATCTGTTATCAATCTCCTTTCATAATTTTTAGATAAGACAGTGTCAACACCATTATTACCTTTAATCTGATTAGTGAGAGGAGAGAATTTTTTTTTTTCTGCCTCTCTGGATGCATAGCACCAAAGTTCCTCTATTTGTTAGAAGATCCTGTCATGGAAAAGGCAACTTGCAACCCGTTTCTTAAGTGTACCCACCCTTGACATAACTGTCAGGGCTTCGCAGCTTCCCGATTTTTCAGGACAAGGAAGAATCTCAGAAACATTCCACATCAGTGAGAAGTTAAACCAAAGACTCTCTAAAATGCCATTTTAACTCATAAACTGAACACTTTCTTGATAACCCCTATATTAAAAAAATAACACAGCTAAGCATGATTGAAAAATATAAGTGCCCCCACCCACCCAACTAGCTAAAATATTACCAGAATTACCTAAAATATAGTCTAGGAGTACGCCTTAATATGGGGATTTTGTATTTTGTTTTATCTTGTCTTTTTCTTTCTTGCTAGAGATTTTTGTAGTTAAGGTCTATGCCTCTGGAATCTTATTAGTGTCATTATTGAATGCTGTTCTGAAATTGCCAGTGGAGGGATCCTCCCTGACGAAGGAGTCCAGATGGTACATTTACAGGGAAGTACATCATTTACAAAAGGTCATTTGATGCAGCTTTTTAAAAGAGTTCTCCAGGGGTGGGCCCTAATTACAATTATGATGGCTTTAAAATATTCACTAGGTTTTTCTTCCAATAAATCTTTTATGTCAGTTTTATCATATGTAAAATTTGCTTACAATCTTTGCATTGCCTTTAAACACAAACTTTACTTTTGTTTCAACATAGTTTTGGATGCGTACCACATAGAAGTACTTCCCTATACTGTTATTGATTGAGACATCTGTCCAGGCATGCATGTGTATTCTAGACCACATAAAGTCAACCGTATTTTGTCCTTAAGCTAATGATCTCTGTTGGTCATAATGTTTAGATTAGCAGACATATTGTTATCAAGAACCCTGAGCATTTCAAACTCAATGCTTACTATAATACAGTAACAAGAATTGTCCTCAAGCTCAATGCAAATGCATATATTTCAAAAGACAGAGACTCACATCTTGATTGGACATATCCCAATAGGGTCTCTCTCCGTATGACATCACTTCCCACATGACAATTCCATAGCTCCATACATCACTTGCTGATGTGAATTTACGATAGGCAATTGCCTCTGGCGCGGTCCACCGGATAGGAATCTTGCCACCCTGTGAACATGTAAGCCATAAGTTATTCACTAAGTACATCAGTGATGTGCCATTTTCATTTCTGAAGGTAGTCATTCTTTGCTAAGCAGGGCGACATCATTCCTGAGACAGCTCTCCAAACAATAATAAGAGACTTATTTAGTTTAACTAAAGCCTTCCAGGTTGAGACAGTTCTCATCATATGTTTTCTTTAGTCACAGGGGAGTACACAAATAATCTGTCTAATTATTTTTTAAAAGCCAACCTATTATCTGAGCTCTGCTTTAGGCAATGCTGTAGATGAGAGGTTTGCAAAATGCATGCTATCCTTGGTATATCAAAGGAAATGTGCCTGATATTTATTTGGACTTCTTCGTGCATGCCTTCACCCAGGAGCAGCACAAAGGCAGCATTTCATTTTGCTTCAGAAATCATTAATCAATGGAAGATACATAGGAACACTTTTATCCCTCACACTGTTACCTGTCTACACAGCATGAGAAACACACCAAATGTAGGTAGAAGATAAAATGCCACACAGACCCCAGAGGAGGTCAACTCAGAATGCCAAAGAGCTACTCTAAATGACATCTGCAAGAACAACTAGCATTATCCAGAAAGTTGAATATACTGTTTTTTGTTGAGTCTTCCAATTTTTAGTTTTTGATAGATACAATGTGCTGTGTAGACACAATTCTAAGAACAGTGCTTTTCTTCTTCCCTTTCTCCCCCACCCCTGTGAGTCTCTCCCTTCTATCTTCCTTTTTATCTCTGCCTTCTTAAAAGCTCTTTAGATAGCATATTTTAAATCTACGTAACATTAAAATGGCATAACTTGACTAAGAAGTTTAACAAGTGAAAAACAGAAACACCCTACTTTCTTGGAAACACAGACAATGGCTGTATAGTATACAGTATTTGAATAGAAAAATGACCACTGTACTTCAAATATATCTAGTATGTTTACACTTGTGCACAAGATGTTTAAAAAAAAACAAAACAAAAAATAAATTTCAGGTTCCCTAGCATCCTATCAGGGAGAATTAATTCTCCTGAAACATGAATTCACACTCTTGAGTTATCCAAAGAGACATCATTTGAAAATTTTCTTTGCTTTATCAGGTAAGGCTACAGAATGGGGTAACACATTGCATTGGCCGTTGCTTTAACACACTGCAATGAATTTATGAAATACTGAAAAGCATGTAGTCTTCCTTTTGCATGTCTTCAATGTTTCCCTAAGGTCTGATCTAGACAAATGTAATTATGTAGATGCCTCACTTAACTTATACGTCCCTAACCAATGGGAAAAAACATCAAAGGCTTTCTGCATTCACCTAGGCACATTCTTTTCTTAATGAATAGACTTGTAATGTAAAGGAGAATATAAGAATCAAAATTCCAGCCAAGAATGTTGAATTCTAGGCCACAAACTGAGACCAAAACAAACAAACAAATAAACAAACAACCAAACCAAACCACACGAATCAACCAAAACAAACACTCCATTTCTTGGGGTTTCAGATGCCAACTTGCCAATGTAAAAGGAGGAAAATGGCTTGCAATTATCTGCTTCACATTGACTTCTATCAGTGTCAGCTTTAAGAGTCAATACCTTATGATTCTCTATTTATTCCATTAGTATTTTATGTTCAGATTGCCAGCTAAGATAAGATAACCATTAACCATCAACTGAAGTCTCTTAACTCTGTCCTAATCCTTGCTTATCTGAAAATAGTGGAATGAGAGCCATTAGATACATGAAAATGTTTCATAGTGTAAATGTTTGTTAAATCCTGTATATACAACCTCAAATTCAGTAGCCAACCAGCCAATCACATTGCTTTGTATTGCTTAGAATGAGGATTGCTTTTTTAAGAATATGAAAGATTAAAACAGAAAATCTCAGATAGACAGAAAGAAAGAAGGAAGAGAAAGTAAGAAAACCAGCACAAAAAAACCAAATAGAAAAAACCCATAACTGATCATCTGTCATGAAAATTGCATTTGGTATATTTCATATAGCTTCCTTTTTAAACACATTTCCTTATTGTCCATTAGCCTTTGCCCACAAATTTTGCAAAGGAAAGACTTAGTTTTTCTCATAATTTTTGGCAATTTCACTGGCCACCTTCTAGATTGCTTCAATATTGACCTTTTTCTTGTAAATATGAGTTTAAAATGTATGCAGGGGTATGAAATGCCTGTAAAGGATGGGGAAACATAAATAGAATCACACAATACGTCAACGTGAAGGTGAGAGAGGGCAAGTGTCATAGGGGAGCCCAGATGTCATAGGCCATCCTCACCCTGGTGGTATACGCCGCTTCCGGGTCATCCTCCAGCACCCGTGACATGCCAAAATCAGACACTTTGCAGACCAAGTTGCTGTTTACCAGGATGTTCCGAGCAGCCAGATCACGATGCACATAGCTCATGTCAGATAAATACTTCATCCCAGACCCAATGCCACGAAGCATGCCCACCAGCTGAATGACTGTAAATCTGCCATCATTCTTCTGCATTGGGAAGGGGTGAAAGACAGTCCCATTAGCATTAGGCAAAATTAATTGCCACCAAGCATTTATTACTTGGATCTTTTTGATATCTGTATCCGGCATGCAATGAAACTCTATATTATTTCCGGGCCTTCCTGACCAAAGTCACTAATTCACTGGAAGAGTGTACCCCAGGAGCTGGGTTTCCTTCCTGTGATAGATGGAAATTAGCCAACTGTAATGAATCTACGAGTCAAACAGCTTCACGATACAAGAATAAATCAAACACTGCTTTCATTGCCTATGGATTATTTAACAACCTTAAAAATCTCATCATTCTCTATTTCTCCTCTTCTTCCTTTAACCCATTAAAACATTCCATGAATGCAACCAAACAGAATGGATACTTAATTTCCTAAATACTACGACTCTTTAGTTTAATTATAAATTAGCCACGTACCCTGAGGAAGGCATCCAAGGAGCCGTTCTCCATGTATTCTGTAATGATCATCACTGGTTTACCTAGAGTTTTCAGAAAGAAAAACAGAAACCCTTGATGAGCACTGCAGTTAATGAGATAAAAATGGGCCATGCACAATTTTACTGCCAAGACACCTGTCTGGTGTGATCTAATTTAATTAAAACAAGCCACGCTTATGCCTCAGCTGTAGGGAGCTAGGAATGAAATATTAAAAGGACAAGTAGGTTTAAGTTCCATCTGGAAGGTTAACCCTTCGGTTAGCTTGTTGACAAAATCTTTAAAGTGGCCCATGGTATCCAGGGAGCACATAAATGGATAATTACTCTCTTGAGCAAAAGGGGAAAAAGATAAATGGATAGGCAGTTCAAACACTAAAAAAAAAATCTTTAGAATAATTGTTTTATTCCCAGAAGAGCCACTTGAGTGATGCCAAAGAAGTCACTGGACAGGGAAACTTTGGTCTTTCTTTAGAAATCCTCTGGCTTGGGGAGCTGCAGGTGTGTCAGACACTTCATTATTCAGACCCATCTCAAAGGCCAGGCACGCAACTTCTTCCAGGTTTATGATGCCAGACTCAGATTAAGGCTGTCTCCTTTCCCTTCCCTTTCCCTGGCTATGAATAAACTCTGTCCTGTTTACTTTCTTCAACTACCAGCACCTCAAAAAAAAAAAAAAATTATCAACAAAAGAACAACAATCACAAAAAGGCTCCGGAAATTACTTCATCTACACTGGCATTTAAATTCAGTTCTAGAACATTCTTGCCCCTCCTCCCCCAGTCTTAAGAAAGAATGCAAATGGATTTAAGGTCTGGCCCACGTGGGGCAGAACAATGCTTTTGTTTCACTTTAGATCTATTTCTGAGTTATACCGGATGTAGGAATGGTTTCTTAGTTCCTTAGTCATTGTCAGTGGACCCAGGGTTTGACATACCCTTCATTTTTAAAGGTTTGTTTTGTTTTGGTTTTGGCCAGGGAAGGGGATGCAGGGGACAGGCTAGTGAGTCTTCATTTCTCACTGAAAAGGTATAAGAGTAAAGCACCTGTAAAAGATTCTCTTGGAGATAATTAAAATGTCATTGGCTTTTTTTTTTTTTCTTTTTGCTGTACCCACTAAAAAATTAAGGCATTTGTTGATGGAAATGTCCTGGATGATTCACTATCAAAAGCACCCAGAATGATACTATGTTATGTACTTACTCCCCAGAAACCCATCATCCACATGATACCTGGGAGCGGTGAAAAGAAAAATGTGTTCCTTTTAGAGGCAAAATTTTTAATTTTTGTTTTGTGTTTTTTAATTTCAATGAAGTCCAATTTATCAATTTATTTTTTGGTAATAGTTTTCCATCCTTTACCTAAAAAATGTTTTAAGAAGCAAATATTTTGAGTTGGAAAACAACACCGTGGAGAGTTTATTTCAAGTGAGGAATGAAAGCTAGCCAAGGAAAGCAGGGATTTTCAAGTAGATCAAAGAACAGACAAGATCTCTCCTAGTCTTTCCCTTGTACTAAAAGAGTGTTCTCAAGATACCTTCCCAATCTCTGCCAAGACAAATAGAAAGTTCCTGGCGCTCTGATTCACCTGCCCTCGGCATCTGTGGCCACAGACTTCAGACAGAATATATGTGTCTGAATGAATTTTAATTAACCTGCCTCAATCAAAAAAGACTTTGTCAGCTGGTGAGCAAGGGTGACACTTGGCATTGCATTAACACCTACTTCCATTTCGCCAGCTCACTCTAGAGCTGTGGAGACAAGAGGGGAGGATCCCAAGGAGCTGGAGTAATGGAGAGAATTTATAGTCCCCCTGTCAATTTAAAAAGTTACTCAAGTAACTGTTGGTAATGAATTCACACTCTTCCAGTCCACCCTTTCGACCCCACACCTCCCTAGTCTGACTCTTGGCACCATCTTCACGCTTTTTCCGCATTCCGCTTTCTGTTTATTAAAAAGTATCCATTTGTTAGGGTCCTTATGAGCTCTACAAGAGGAATAAAGATGAATGTCTCCATAAGCAGACATCCATAAACTGGGCCCGAGCTGAGCTCAGCGATGGGGGACGCTTCTCTGGTGACAGGCAGAGATGTGGTGGGGACCCGGAAAGCTTCTCCAGTGGAAATTCTAAATCATTTTCATTCAGTGACAACTGCATTATGCAAATGCATCCAGTCGTTTATAACAGTTACAGCTGTAATAGCTACGGGTTTTAGAGGCGCGGTGGGACCTTAATACAAAGATCCCCTGTTCCTCCTTTCTTCTGCAGAGGTGCTATGGAAATCACTGTCTGCGGCAGCGAAACCACTCTGAGTCGAACAGAGCCTCCTTTTTAGAAAACGAACCTGCAGAAGTATTTAACCGGAATGTTATCTTTTAATTAAAGTAGTGAAGGGTTCTGGGCAGCCCCGAAGGCCACAGGCAACAGAAAAATATCCTGTCTGTAAAACTAATCTTAAAAAGCAAATAGAACTATTCTGTACTAATTATAGCCTTCACCCGAGGTGGAAATTATACACCCTTAGCACCAAGCTTCCCTTTCTTGAAGAATTCGAAAGACGCCCACCCATATGAAGACATAATAACATCATGGAATGCTCAGGAATTGTGTTTATAATTTGCCATTATGCTAATCCCTGTAAATATTTTATTTCACCCCTCTGCCCCAGAACCTCACAAGACAAGTTCTGATTTCACCTCCACTTTACAGACAAGGAAACTGAAATAGAAAGATTGAGTCCCAGCCCAGTTCACCTGCTTGACTAGCTAGATGTAAAACTCACAATGCCTGGGGTCCTAAGAGTGAGATCGTGTGGTGATCCTTATAGAAATGCAAACTCTAGAGTCCTACCCCACCTGCTGAGTCCAACCTGGGAATGGGGCTCAAAAAACGGTCTTGGCCAGTTTTCCAGAAGACGCCTAAGCATATTTAAATGTGAAAATCTTCAAACTATTGCACGCCTTGTCTCACATTTTAGAAGCTAGGGCACCGTCTGTCCCACCTCCAGTCCAACCCTGACCAAACAGCTCCGTTTTAATCTCTAATCTCCCATGCTCAGATTCACTCCCAGGAGCAACCAGAGTGTCCCAACTCCATACATGATGGCTGAGGGTGCCTTTTGGAGAGATCTTGATTCGAATAAGAGAAGCCATGGCCTTCTTGGTGAAGTGGTCCTGGGCTCACAAAGTCTGTAACTTGCAGTAACTGTAGTAGGAACCAGGGGCCTCCTGGCATTGAGCCCCCTTTAAATCGCTGCTTCAGCTGCACTGTCTATGGCATGTTATATGCTGGTGGCAGCCAGACATACAGATGTATTCAGGGTTTGTTTCACAAAACGCATCTGTTGAGCTATGTCGTGTTTGAACTGAAGCGTGGTTCACAGGCTCAGCGAATGCTAATGGACTAACAAAGGAAGGTTCAACCAGGTGTTACTGTAAATAGGTGTTGAACTGCAACAGTCATGAATCACGCAGAGCTGACAAGCAAAACCCTCAACACGATAAAGATTCCCAAGATTCACTCGTGCATCTGGAACAGAAGCTTCTAGCACAAGGTATGGGGAGGATTTGTTGTATTTTATAGGAAAAGTACTTAAGATTCATTTTGCTTACCATCTGCTTATGCCTACCTTATGACAATCAGTTTGGCCCAGCAAAGATTTGAAAGATGGTACAGCATACTCAGAATCTGCAATATTAATTTCCCTAAAATCTCACACAAGCTGCCTGGGAGATAGGGTAACAGCCAAAAGCAGAGACCCAATGAGAGCTGACTGCAAGATTAATGGCTTGTCCTGCACTGACTTCTTATTAGCAATCAGTGAGCCTGTTCCATCTGTCATTTCCCTTGGAAAGAAAATGTGTGTTTGATTTCCCAATAACTTCTAATTTGGCCTTTAAAAGGAATGACCAGCTTACATTTGGTGACGACACCTTCCAAGTGAATAATGTTTGGATGGTCAAACTGTCCCATGATGCTGGCCTCACTGAGGAAATCTCTTCTCTGCTTGTCTGTATAACCAGCTTTCAGAGTCTTGATGGCCACACAGATCTCCCTCTTGCCAGGCACTTTGAGACGCCCACTGCACACTTCACCAAATTCACCTTCAGAAGAGCAAAAGATTTGAAGCTACGTCAAAACACATTCAAGAAGACAAAAAGGAAAAAAAAAGTAACAGCTCACACTCGTTGAGTACACACTGCATGCTAGGCTATGTGCTGTTGCTTCCCATAGGTCATTTCATTTGATTCCCTCCCCAATCCAGAGGTAGTTGCTATCATCACCTCCATTTAATCAGAGGAAACTGAGGCTTAAAGAAGAGCCTGCCCAAAGTCTTACAATTAGTAATAAGAAGAGTTATTTAAAAGCAATTAATCTGCTTTCTGAAAGTACATGGCTTATGTATTGAGTTTCTTTGTGAGAATAAAATCAAAATTAGCACCTAGGTTGTATCACAGTTTATAAACCCAATAAGGAAATTCCATGTACATAGCTATCTGTTCCTGTAGATAAACAGGCAACAGGATCATACAAAACCCACATAAATATTTTTAATCTTTCCCAAGAAAGCAGATTGGTAAAACAGACACTGAGACACTTACCAACACCTATGACTTTTTCAATCTTAATACAGGAGGCATCTATTTCTTTGGCAAATTCTCGAACTGCTTGGTTGGGATCTTCATATGTAAAGGGATCCACATAAGTTCTAACACCTGAGTAATAAATATGTCACAGGTTGACCAAACACTTCCGACGAACCACTAATACACACATAAGGAATCTGGGTCCAATCATCCTTAGCCCAAGAAAAGCTGAGTTAATTGTATGGTCCTTGCCATGTAGTGATACATGAATTCATTCTCTGGTTTACATTGGTGACTAAAATAAGAACTGCTGGCTACTTAAGATGTTGTAGCTCTACCGACTCCCTAGAACGTCTTCACGCCTCAAGGACAAGATCTGCAAAACAGCCCATCCCACTGAGAAAAAGAGTTTCTGTAAGAAAATCTGGCTGCATTAGATGAATAGTCTAAGTCCGTTACTCCTATCTTCCAGTCCATGAAACTACATCCTACCCAGCACCTTTGGCTATTCTCCTATAGGAATAATTACAGAAACCTTCTTTTCCTGCTGGTCCTGACTACATTTTACCACATTTTACTGAACTGCTGAACCAATTCAATATGTGGCTGAAAATTAACCCACTTATTAAAACTAGATTAATATTCAAAAGGCATTAATAACAACTATAAAGACATGTATTAGATCTCTATTTTTATGTATATTCTTTGGGAAAGGAGCTGCTCTAAGCAAGGATATTGAGGTTCATGTGGAAGCATCAGCCAGAGACAACCAATATAGTATAATGAAAGGTATTAGAATAGCAGGAAGCATAATTCAGTCGTATTTCATACTCTTTTAAAAATTAAATTTAGAATATGAATTCTATACCGGTACAGTAACAGACACCAGGATAAAGAGGCAGAAGTTATTGCTGCCAGCTTTCTACTGGCATTTGCATCTCTCCATACTGGGGCTCCCGGCGCATGGGGGCCCTGGAAGTGTGGGGCACCAGTTGGTCTAATCTCTTCCATTATTCACGCTTATCAGTCTGGACCTCATCTGTGCACCTGACATTATGAATACTCTACTTCAGTTGACACTTTTGTGTTACTTCTTTTTCATGCATCATTTTTGTTGTTAAATATATATTCCATAGGAACATTTTTGCTTTTGATTTTAGGAAAAAAATAGGGGAATAATTGGGAAGTTGTCAGATATCTTATATCCCTCATCATTTTCTAAGATCTTACTGAAAAATTTCCTTGGGGATTACTCCTGTCCTTTCTGATTTCTGTCTTCTTTTCCGCCCTGTGTTTGAGGCTGGCTGCATGGGGTTATTTAAATGTAAATAAGGTATAAGCAAATTAATATAAAGTCTCCTCATTCACACTTGTTACATTTCAATTATTCAACAGCATATGTGGCAACTGACTAATGTACTAGTCTGCGCAGCTACGGAATAGAGGTGCCAAGTGGGAGAGGGCAGAACTCCAGGACGGCCCTCAGTCTTCTACTGCAGACTGTCTGCCTTGCAGAACTCACTCTGGAGCCCCCTCCTTGGCTTTAACTTTGACCTTGTTTGGAACACCAAAATAACTAGATTCTACTAGAAAATTACTGACAGTCACAAATTCTATACCACATACTATAATTCTATGAGAAGTAGCAATTCCTGTTTCTTTCCTTTGCCTCCCCTACAATTTTTTAGCTTATATGAGAAAAATTATCCTTCTCTGCTCCCCTCCCCTTACACGAGTGAGCAAGCTAGCCCAACACTTTGTTCAGGAAAAAGAAGAATCTAATGATCTTGTTTTTCACCTCTCTTCCATCTTCAGTCTTAAATAATAATAAATCACCTATTGCTGTTTGATATTATGGAAGTATATGGTTTGAGGAAGGAGATATAATCCAATATTAATAGCTTCATGAACAATACGTAAGCATTTCTAAACTGCAAAAACATGAAGCAGGTGTCGAAAAAGAAAATCATTTTGAATGTGTTTACGTACCTTGATTTAAATGTTTCTCTTCATCTGCTTCTTGCTTTGCTTTACTGTATTTGCTCCGCCTATTAAAAAAAAGTTTAGAAAAATAAAATGATTTCTCATCAATACTAAAAGAAGTGAAATGAGCCGTGAGATAATTTTTTTGCTACAATGAAGATGAGGCAGGGATGTTATGCACATCACACAGACAAGAAAACAGACTTGTAGGAGCTGAAATGACAGGGTGAATTACTCATTACCTCAATACCCCGTCCTGGTTTCAAACTCAAGTTGTTGGCCATTTTATATATAATTATGAATATACACATATATACATACACAGGGAGCATCTCCTAAAAGGTTTCCACGAATATAATTATGTACAAATCACATTGCGATAATGTTTAGTATCTAATAGGAGAATGCACATCCTGTTGTTATAATCACAATATCCAGTCTCATCAACTTATTACGGTATTATGATACCATTTTCCCCAAAAGATTTATTTATTTACTTGATAGGTAAAGTGACACAGAAAGAAAAGGGTGGGAAGAAAGAGAGAGAGCGGAAGATCTTCCATCTGCTGATTTATTCGCCAAATACATCAAAGAGCCAGGTCTGTGCCAAGCAGAAACCAGCAACCAGAGACTATCAGCACCTGCCAAATGGTGATAGGAAGCCAAGTATGTCCATCTTCCTCTGCTGCCTCGCCAGACACATTAGCAAGAAGCTGAATCAGAAGCTGAGTAGCTGGGATTTGTATCAGCATTCTGATTAGCAATAGCATTGTCACGCACAGCAGCATAACCTCTTTGGTTTGAAAAGAAACTGTACATTTCTCTACATAAAAGGCAGAAAGAAAGAATGCCATCTTAGGGTACATTTCGCAAATGCCCACTATGAACATGGCTGGATTAGGGAGAGCTGAGGGCAAAAACTGAGTTCACAAGCTAGGTCTCCCTGGGGGTTGCCAGCCAGAGGAGCCGTCGGCACTGTGAGTACACATTAGCAAGAAGATGGAGTCAGGATCCAGGAACTGAACGCAGATTCTCAGATCTGGGATGTAAGAGTCTAATCCTCTAGGCTAAACACCTTCCTCATACACGATGCTCTTTTTTTTATATATATAAAAGGTTTTTATTATTTTATGATACTGTTTCACAAGCTCTTGGATTTCTCTTCCCCTGTCCTACTACTGATTTCCCCTATATTAATACAATAGTATAGTCTTCAATAACAGTCATAAGCCCATCATTCTGTTATGTAAGAGTATGCTGACATTGTATGTAACAGAAAAAGGCAGACAGTCAGTATCTTATTATCAAGACGTGTTTCACTGGAGTCCATGATACTTGTAAAACAGTAGTTTTCCAGTTACTGGATTTAGGGCTGCATGCAGCTTTTTAAATTATCCATGAATATTTGAAAATTAAACATTTGCTTTGCACTGGATTACATTCCTTAAGTGTATGGACAACTAACAAGAGTGAAAATGAGAAATTTTCGTTTGCTTTGCTAGTTCACTTAAATAACATGATGCATGTTCTTAAAAGCTGACATTGTCACTACATCTCCTTGGAATGAGATATTGTTTGTTTAAAAAAAAAGAGTTGGAAATTAGAAATCATATGAAACTCAAAGGAGATGCAGCAATCTTCCACAAGTTCATTGAAATATACACATTACATTCTATTTTTAAAGAACTATTTGAAATATCCTTATGTATCAAAATGCCTATCATTCCTAAAAACTGGAAATTTGATGCAACTCTTATGTATCAAAAACATGAAATATATCTCAAATCTTGAATCATGAGACTATATATCGCTTAAGAAAACTGAATTAATCCAATTCCCTAAAGTATGGGATTAAAACCCAACTAATGCATAAAATGTAGATACTAATTTTCTGCCCAAATGCAAAATTCATATGGAAGTCCATAACCATCTTGATTTTTGTTTTGTTTTGTTTAGTGCATCAAAGACAAGCTACTTTGAGGCTCTTGCAGGCGAGGTCACTGAGCCCAAGTGATGAGGAAAGCTTTCCTCAAGGCCACAGCATGTCAGGCAGGGCCAGCGGGTTGGATCAGAATGTGATATCCTGAACTGCTGAGCTTTGAATGGGAAACAAGAAGCAAGGGAGAATCCAAAGGAACCAGGCAGTCGCAGTCCAAGGATGATCTCAAGTGCAACCAGGGAACGGGCTTCTGACAGCCACTTCTGCGAGCAGAAAGGCAGCACAAGGAGCATCCCATGTGCAAACTTCCCTCCCATGCTACTCTCAGAATTGCAGGGAAGCCTTACAAATCAGACCCACAGAGCCCACAGGTATGCTGCGCTTTTATACTGCGTTTAATTGTTCAAAGTGTTTGCATCACATTATCTTCTCCTCAAGCTGTTTGCAAAGCAGGAACTGGGCTAGCAAAACAGAAACCCCATCACTACAGTCAACTGTGAAATGTGTGTTTTTATCCCAAGTAATTGTTTACATGTTCCTTTTTCTTTAACTTTTCGAAGGGCCTTCAATTATTACTAAACTGGATGTTCAGGACAACCCTAGTAAAGCAGAACAATGCCATGGGCAGACACCCTGTACAGATGGAGAGCATGGAGCTGGGGTAGGAGCAGGCAAATCAGCCACAGCTTCTGTTCAATTCAGGTTGTGTGTCCTCTGATCCAGCCCAAGGCTTCCCAGCAGCCCTCCCAGTGGAGACATAGTTAATTAAAGTATTTAGCTTCATAAGAATTATAATACTGCATATTATATCAGGAATTCCATTTAACCTGTATTCAAGTGCTCTGGAAATCCATTACTTCTTCAGAGAAGTAGCCAGATTCACCAAAGCCTAAAAGCGAATGACTTCCTGTGACAGTCTCAACCTCTCACCCTTCATTCTTTCCTTTCTGATCTTTCGAAGAAAATGTAAAGATACTTCAAAAAGCTAATGAAAACAAATGGTGGCAAACAGCAACTTGGGTACAAAAATGTTGAAACCCATGCATAGTTTTCTTGCAACCTATTTTTTATGAACACTTTGAAGACCCCATGTGTAAGAATGTTAGATAAGGAACTACTGCAACAGTGTTGTATGTGGAGGAAATGGCATGGCTACTGTCTAATGGTTGACAGGATCCTATCAGCATGAAGGTTAGATTTTGAGTACTGATTCGAATGCCTTTCCTTTAAAGAATGGGAAAAACTGCCACACATCAAAAGAGACTCTTGCTACCCAAGGAGACAAGCAGCAGAAGCTACCCAAGTTTACGGTTCTCTGTTTCATATCAAACCCATTCAGTAACAATGGACAAAGCCAGAGGAAACGTAAAACTGCAGAAGTCCTTAACTGAAGGCTGACACACCCATCCCTTCCTCAGCCTTCTAAATATAGAAGCAATAGTCAGCAGTGAAGGTGCATTTAAAGACACAATGTGGAGTGTATTTGGAGGGGAGGACTCTGCAAGAGTACAAGGAAGGCTGAAAAGAAATACAAGGATTACTGTTTAACGGCTAATTACAGCCTGCGAGTTCTTTAATAATACCTTGAAAGCAAAAATGCCTGTCCCCTTCTACCTTTGTCACCTGATGACCCTTTCTGTGTGGTGAAGGGAAGGATAATGTGGCCCGTTATTTTCTCAAGAAAGAAAGCCCACTGAAGCTTACGATGGATCTGCAAGCCTGGAGACACTACAGGGCTTAAAGTGCTAACTCTTAATTGACATCCTACGAAGATCACCTCAATGGCGGACGAAACCTTTGTCGAAGTGTTTCTAATTACTAGGACACGGACAAGCTGATTAGAAAAGGGAAGGAGAGGAGTGGTTTGTTAATGAATGCTGCAGAAGCTAACAGGGAACCTCTCAACTGCAGGAGGTTCGGAAAGGGCCAACTGTGCAGGTGGAACGCTGCAAGTGTGAGCCACGCCCTCCCTTTGGTTAAAGGAACATGGTAATCACCCGCATTGTGGAGGAACAGCATGAGTTCTACCCCAGCCCTGTGCTGTTCCTGGCACCTTGACTATTCAGTAAAACAAACAGAGTAGAGCAATGGGAGTTTAGCAGAGGCCCAACATTCACCCTGCTTTTATTCAGATACTAACTTTCCCCTCAAGTGGACAGATTTGATTGATGTGGTTCGCTGTTCCAAAGTTAATTAGCAAAAGTAGATAGTCTATTCAGCTGTAGAGTTAAAAAAAAAAAAAGGATAGAGCAAAGCAATATTGACTGTGGCTCCAAAAGAACAGTCTCAGGTGCCTGACACTATATCACCCATGAAGATTCGTAGGACCCACCATGCTTTTTCTCGTGAAGCTGTCATTGTTCTTGTACCAAATATCTAAATATTCTTTACAAGCAACGATTTGAAATGTTTGTAATTGAACCATGCAACTACACATCAGTTGTTTAGGACTGCACTTGCAATCCCCTCTACCCTCTAATTGTGTGACTTTGCAAATCCTCATCAGACCCCATGTAGGCTAACATTTAGGTGCATTTCATTCTTAGGTGATCATAATATTCCAGGAAGAAAATTAGGGTACCAGGGATGACAGACACAGACTATCTCTTTCACCATTTTATGAGCTGTTAGCTCAAGAACAGAAAATCTTAACATTCAATAAGCAGGCAAAACTATCCAGCACAACTCTTGATTTTATACTGTGCATGTGATCTGCACATTGATTCATATGCTACATACCTAATCCACATCCATTGGAGACTCAACATTTTGAATTGATAGAACTGTCAGGACAGGAACATTCCTGTTAGATAACTGCCTCATGGTGTGACACTGGTTATTCACTTGTTTAGTCTCTTCGTTCCTCAAGGATCTATAGTATGTCTGAATTTTGCTATAGCAATTAGTTGTTTTTTTCTTTCTTGAAATCAATGTGCCTCTTTCTCTTTAATTCAGGTAGAAAAGGTACTGTAGAACACTAAAATATATGGGAACTCCATATCATAAGTAGTTATTGAAAGGTCAATATAAATGCAGCATCTGTCCAGCCATCAGTCAGTACCTCCCCCCGATCACCTAATTATCCTTTAAAAAGCAATGACTCTTCTTGTCTTCCAGCCCTTTGTT